TTTTCAACTTCTTATGCATGTTTTTTCACCTTCATTTTCCTAGCATTAGTTTTATGGAACACAACTGGTACCATTGTAGCTGGTCAAGGCGGTCAAGGTAATGGTCCCAGTCAATTAAACGAACCAGCTGGACTTTTCTTAACTTCTGCTTCCACATTATATATAGCAGAATATGCTAATCACCGAGTACAACGATGTTATCAAGGTTCATCGAGTTGTACCACTGTGGCTGGTGGTTCTAATGGTACTAGTGGTTCTGGTCAATCATATTTGTACCGACCGCTAAATATATATGTAACAACAAATGAAACAATTTATATATCCGACTATGGTAACAATAGAGTTCAGAAATGGGATAGCGGAGCGTCAAGCGGTACCACATTTACAACAGCGTCTAATCTTCGATTTATTTGGTCAGATCAATCGACCACATATTTGTATGTGACAGATGCGACCAATGCTGTTGTTCGTCAATATTTAAGTATTGGAGGCGCTAATCAGATTGTTGCTGGTCAAACTGGAAGTGGTAATCAGATGGCATTTCCATATGGAGTTTATTTGAATTCATTGTCAAATCAACTATATGTATCAGATGCAAGTAAACATGTGGTAATTAAATTTAATTTAGGCAATGTAACAGGAGAATTTATTGCCGGTACAGCAGGCACATCTGGATCACAAGCAAATCAGTTAAATGGTCCAACTGGTCTACGCCTTGATCAATATGGAAATTTATATGTAGCTGATCGATATAATAGTCGAATTCAATTGTTTTGTAACGGTTCTACCAATGGAATTACAATTGCTGGCAATGGTAGTTCAATAACAATGAATAGTACAACTGATCTTGCTTTGGATTCAAACTTAAACTTATGTAGCTGATCGATTTAACCATCGTGTTCTTTTATTCCAAAAATATTGATAATTATATAAAACAATATATTTTATTTTTCAATAAAAGATAAAACTCCATCATGTATGTGTACAATATTTTTATTTTATCATTTATTTCGCAACCGTCAATTGAGACACTCAAAACATAATCATGTTTTTTATTTGGCTATTATTCATAAATTCTTTTAGCACAAACCATATTATTTCCTATAACACAAGACTTTCTATATACATCACGTCTCACACCATCAGTCGATGCGGTCTGTTCACATTTGAGTTCGAGTTCATATATAATTGTAAGTGATGGTTCTTTCACAACTAATAAATCAATAAAATTTCCTATAAAAATTTTAATTTCTATAAAGAAATGAAGGAGTGAAGGCAAGAACAAGACATCCGCATACACTTCTGGTTTTTCCTTTCCTACAATATATTTTTAAAAAGTCTGACGAGGGAACCTCGCGAGGTGATAAATCGCTTTTTGATCGATATCTAGTCGGTTATAGGTTATCGGCCACGCTGATTCCGAATATGACCATGGGGCTTCCCCATAGCCCTTCGAAGGTCTAGTCTTCTGAAAAAGCAGGTTTTCAGAAACCCCAAAAAATAACCCAAACCTTTCTTAACAATGCAGGATTGTAGCGCGCAACTTTCGAATTAAAATGAAACAACCCCCAGTTCTGCATGATCTTTCTTTGCAAACTTATAGAATTTATAAGAAGAGCCCTAAAGTAATTATTTTTGTAGCCTTGAGCTGACAATGAACAATTTAGGACTTTTCTTACAAATTCTATAACTTAAAGAAAGATCATGCAGAACTGGGGGTTGTTTCATTTTTAATGCGAAAGTTGTGCGCTACAATCCTGCATCGTTAAGAAACGTTTGGGTTATTTTATGGAGTTTCTGAAAACCTGCTTTTCTAGAAGACCAGACCTTCGAAGGGCTATGGAAAAGCCCCATAATCATATTGGGGATCAGCGTGGTCGGTAGCCTATAACCCACTAGATGTCGATCAAAAAGCGATTTCAACTTCACGAATGCAGGAATTAAGGACGGATGAGTAAATGCTGTCAAGTACTTCTCTTCGGTTTGACTTTGTTCTTGTTTATAAATGACAATTCGAAAAACATCTAGCTGCGTATTTCCATTATAGTAGATGCAAAACTTGGATCTACAGCTCACGATTCTCTAAATTTTACAAATCAAAACAAAATTAGTATCGGATTGCTATTTAGATGTTGTCACAGAAACACTTTTCTACAATCACAGCTGTAAATATTAAACACTGCCAGCAAGTTCGATAAAAATCAGACGCAGTGAGTAAGATAAGCAACGTTTTTGAGCAGTATTTCAGCTAAATTCATTCACTTATGCCAAGAGTTAAAAGCACCTGAAAACACATTTCGCAAATAGACTATGCCTAATTGGATTGTGCAAGAGAACTATCGATTCTGTTCAGATACTGAATCAATTTCACTGCTTACTTCATTTGTAGAGAAATGTTGAATCTTTAGCTCCACATTTCATAGTCTAGATGAGTTGTATGGGTCATCGAAACTGCAGCGCAAGCCCAATGGTGGAAAAGCTATAATGACTCTGGATAAACAGATAAAAGGGCAATATATATGAAAAATGAAGCACAACTTTATTGTACGTTTACTAAAAACGTACGTTGTTTTTTCGGCATTTCAGGCTGATTTGTCATCATTTGAGTATATTCATATATTTTATCAGCCTTTTCTTCACTATAATGTTGCTCTATTTCATTATTTACTGCTACCCATACTTGAATAAATAAATCTCTTAAATGTCTCATACCAGTAATACTATGAGAAATATATAATGTTTTTTCAGCATTATCAATAACCTTATTATCCACTTCATCTACAGTCAAACTATCACCTATACGATCTCTTATTTTCTTACCGAAAAATTTAATCAGTAATATATCTCTTTGAAAATAACCAGTCTCACCATAAATAATATCATTTTGTTCATATCGTTCTTTTCTTTCTGTTTCACCTGTACCAGGCGCATTACAACCATCATCACGATTATTATTAACTTTTAAACCAAATAACTCAACAAATTGTTTATAACCTTCTTCTTGATCATTATTAGCATCACGAATAGCTATTATTTTTTGAACTAGTAACAAAATCAACTTTTTCACGAATTAATGCTTGTGCAACTGCTAAAAAGAACATTCCACAGGTTTTGGTTATATCTTAGAGTTTCTGAAAAACTGGTTTCCCAGAAAGCCGGGATTTCAAGAGTCATGGGGAAAAATCCTTTTAGATAGGCTTTTACTAGTTCGATGCCCTCTACCGATCAACGTATGAACGAACGAAATCGGAAGGTATCACTCGGATAGGTTTCCTACATATGCGGCTTGTATTTATGTAAGAATATACTACCAATTATTTTCCGGTATCTCGATAACCAACAGCCGAAAAATCGATTTAAGACCTATTTGTGACGAGGAATTCGAAAAAAAATGTTTGAAAAAGTTTGTACGCATGTGGAAAATACTAGAGTAGGTTTTCTTGTAAACCCGCATTTTTGAGTTTTTCGAGTCCTCTTCAGTATTTTACGATTTTTTCCCTCAAAACTCAACTTTTTCGAGCTAAAAAGGTGATATTCATGATCAGCTCGATTCGGCGAATCAGAATATGTATAATAAAGCCAAAAATTAAAACTTGCTCGATCTTTGAATTAGCGGCGCCTTAATAAGTAGTGATAATTCTTCTGTTATGGTATTACTTTTATCTTTCAGTCTGTGGAAATTTCTCCATTCCACTAATGATTTTCACTTTTCCGTTCTACAGTGATTTACTACCATTTTGTATATTACGAGCGACATAGTTTCCCTAAGAACACGAAAAAAAGTTGATCATCTGACCCTGTCTCCTTCGTTTTGGAAAAAATTTCTGTTATATTTCAGATCTAAAACAATGAGTGAAGGAAATAAGTAGTGCTCATTTTATGCTCATGCTCGTCGGCGGTGCTTTAGCCCTTATTGTTATTATTTTTATTATTATTATTACACTCATGATATCGTATGAATATACTTTATATACTGCTTAACATATAAAAACTACCCACTATTTATTCCCAACTCTTTAAGCCGCGAGACTGTGATACTTGGATTGGGTATGTCGTGAAGCCTTTTTCACCTAAGTTTGACCTTGAAGGAAGACCAAAAGTTTCCCTCGAAATTTTTGCCTCAGGTGTTTTGCCTAACAATTAGCACGAAAACGTTTTTTCAAAACATATCGAGTTATATATCATTCGATGCATGTTTTTCGTAGATTCCAAATATCAGATTGGTTTTGGATGAAAATGCTTTTTCACATTTAAAACTTAAGTTTTTCGTTTTTTTCGTTCTTCATATATACGATCGTATTCACTGTGAAAAAGAGATTTTTTTTTCTCTCTTTTCTCTCTTCACACATGATTGATAAAACAGATTCTTTTTTTCTAACGTGTCATCAATAAGAGAACATTTAGCCGATTTTTATGTTTTGGGATTTCAGTGAGAACAGGTATCCCCAACCACATACTTATAGTCTCTTAGTATACACGAAATTGTAAGCTCTACCCGGACTTAAACGCTTTACATTTCGGAAACACCCACAATCCGAGATACACGAGCTTTTAGAAAAATTTAATTAAGACAAAAACTCACTTTTTTACTTAATTAAAAAAACGCTAAGCTTTAATTGTAGTATCATTAGATAGAACACACAAAATTGCACATATAGAGCTAGTTTTGGGAAAAAAGTGGAAAACTTAAGTTTTAAACGTTCAAAAGCATTTTTATCAAAACCAATGTGATATTCGAAATCTACGAAAAAAACTACATCGAATGATAAATAACTCTACGTGTTTTGAAAAAAACGTTTTCGTCCTAATTTCAATTGAAATAGATGGAAAAAATTTTAAAAATGCATTAATATTAGCGAAAGCAGTTATTTCACACAGAAAATTTATTAGACATATACATCAATCTACTGGTAAGATCAAATTATCTTGAACAGAGTTACACACGTGTTTCTGTTACAGTGATGATGATATTTCTCTAACAAAAAATGTCTTCGTGAAGTAGTTTCAATACTTTAAAATTAAATATGAAATACGATTTGATTTATTTTCCAAATCATAAGAAAAATACGATCTTATGAGAATTCCAATGTAATTGACTCGTAGAAATTTTATGAATAAGAAACTTTTCCGTTTTGAAAGTGAAAAAACTGAGTTGAATAGTAAAATACCTGGTGGTGGTTTGGTTAAGTACTTGTGAACATCTTCTTGTGTTTCTTTGATAGGATTTATATGATGAGATCTTTCAGTGCTACTGTCATTTGATGTAGTTCCTGTAGTGGTCCGCGGTGATTGTGGGGCTGTAGCAGGCGGTAGAGCTACATACACTGGGGGAACAGTGAAATGACCGTTGAATTTTGAGGTGAGGCTTGTGTTGATGCAGCTCCTTAATTATAAAAAAGGAATTTTTATTTTGTGAGATTAGCAAAAAAAGATAAAATTTCAGCATGAAAAAACTATTTGCATTTTTCTTAAGGTGAATGATGCCAATATTCGTCTAAAAATGGTGTTCACCACAAGGTGTGACCTTAAATTTATTTTTGCAGTCTCACCTGTATCATCTTGATATGTTCTAACTACCATACGCTGCAAGAAAATAAAATAGCATATCTCCTCCTAAATTTTAGAACATATATTTCGCTTTAGACTGAAAACAACTCTTAGGTTCTTTAGAGAATTTTTACATATTATCTGTGTAAATTTTTGAAATATCCAAAAATATTTTCATAATTGCTGAAAACTAGCATCTAAATCTGAAAAAGGTTAATATCGTATCACTCTCAGCAGAGCTTACTCGCTTGTTTGGAGGCTCTCGATCTTCTAAAGGAATACGGTATTTAAATTATTTCATATCTAAAAGAAATGTTTCACCACAGGCTTGTCTAAAAAATAAATTTTACCCACCCTTCCCTTCAGATTTGACTGCTCCTGCAGTCGATTATACAGAGTAAGGGGTAAACACTTCATCCGAGGGTCTCACGAACTGAAGTTCACAGCAAATATAACAAAAAAAGCAAAAGCTATATTTTGCTAGAATTAATTTGCGCACGTACCTTATAATACGAATAGAAGCAGCAATAGTTGTACCACTGTTATATAAGGTAGTGGCTTTGTTTAAACTGTTAACCGTGGCTGAACATACTGGATGAGATAAAAGTGAAAAATAATATAACATCTTCCATGCATGCGCATATTTCACATCATTGTAACTTGTTCTATATACTTGATACACCGCACGTAGTATCATACCTTTTACTTTATTTATGGGACTAATTGTAGCATTACTAAAGCAAATATTTAGAAACCAACTTCAGATGTGTCATCTATAGCTCTCTGCTTTCGAGTGTCTTTTTCCCAAATCTATGTGATTAGGCATAACCGAGAACGAGTGGGTGACCCGAAAAAGAAAACACAGTTTGGCAAGAAAGAAGAATTTTACTAGGCAGCGGGTGACGTTAAACAGAATAAGCCTTCTATTGTTCCACTCGGTGAACTTAACTAAAGAACCAACTGCCCTGCGGGAAGATTGGAAAGCTGGTCGAGCGAACCGTTTCTTAGAAACACTTTAGATACCGTTTGAGCTACTAACATAAGCAGCACTGCTCAATTATTAATTTTTCAAATCAGCATTTTTGAATAGAAAAACAGCAAAATACAACAGAAGAAGAATACGGAGACAAATTTAGGAGATAAAATTTTAACGATTATAGTTTAAATAGTAAGTGGAAAATTTAGAAATTGATATGAAACCGTTTAAATTTGTAAATTGTTTTTAAATTTTATTAATAAAAAACAAAACAATGTGATTTCTCTGTCAAGACTGGACTAGAAAGAAATTATATCAAGTCAACTTAAAATTCTGGGATCATATTGAGACAAACCATATCAAAAAAACAGACCTTCCAAAGTTTATATATAAAATTACGATCCTTTTCCATTATTTTGTAGATAGTAGATTATATCATGTTCTACTCGGACTTTTCTTCGAGAACATGATGTAAGGCGAGAAATTTCACTATGCTTTGTCCGGCTTTCTCTTTGGGAACATGATGCAATAGATCGCAGACTAGCTTGAGTCTGAGCTAAAAATATGTAAAAAAACTTCTACAGGCTACTTCCATTTAGGTGCACCCAGTTTATACAGACATCCCTTCGAAAAAAGTCTTGCGGATCTTACAGTGAAAGAATTATTTAATTTAGTGGAAAAATGACGTATGAACAGTAGACTGAAGAAAAAATTTTATATAATCTTTATCTCCATTACAGCGAAAAATTCTTTATTGTAAAATTCGCAAGACTTTTCTAATGTGAAATGTTAAAAAATTACTTCCATGGGAAAGAAATGTATCAAAGAAAGAAACAATATATAAGTATATATACATACACGAAATATATAAGACAGAACACACGATATCACATAAGAAGACGAAAGAAAACCTACATTTTCCTTTTTCAGTGAACGCACGTGTCAATATAAAATTGACACAAAAACTTGAATAAGTTGAATGACGCGTAAATAAGATTGCTGTGCACTTACAGCGTTTTCGATATAACTTTGGCAAGGTGGGGAAGTTTTATGGGGTAACTCTAAAAATTTAGCTGATAACCAAAAGAAGAAATGGCTTTTAACTTTTCGGAATAATTTTGTTTTGGTAGGAGTAAACTTTTTAAAATGAACGGAGTAATTTTTTTCAAACAAGATAGGAGAATTCCCCCACCTAATCGAAAATACTGTGCACTTATTTTAAACTTAACCTTTAACTGAGCTTGAGATGAATTGCATCGCGTTCCCGAAGAGACAACCGGGTAAAACACGGTGAAATTCGCACTTTATCCATCTCAAGAAACGCTACTTAGAGAGCGATTTTCTTTCCTCTCTAACAGTTGTTCGTTTTGGTGATATTGGACTTAATAGCCTAGTTTAAAATACTTTCAGTTCTCTTAAATCTTGGTTTATAAGTCTGAGTTATTTTTAACTTAAGTCTTGAAAAAAGGCTTTTCTTATATAGCTCGTGCGAGCTGTTGATATTGAAATCAAGTTTCAAAATTGATTTAAACTTTATTATAGAAGAAACAGTAATCAAATCGGGCTGTGCCCATTGCATGACACTGGGAGAGAGGAAGAGGACGAACGAAAGTACAAAATAAAAAAAACAAAAAAGAAACTAGACAA